GACCTGGTTAGTGATCTTAAGCTTTACTATACCCTCATGTTGACAAACACGGAGTTTGTGCTACTTGAGGATCATAAGACACGAATATGCCCTCAATAGAATGGACTTGGTACATACATGTAACATCTATGGTCGAGTGACTTGGCACTGGAGTTGGCTATTGGTCAGAGCACTTTCTGACAGATTGTTCTATACTTCAAAGCATAAAGCGTAAGCAGAAATACCAAATTTTTGTGCCCTCTAGAGCTTTCTTTAGTGCTCCAAAGGGCATGAACCCTGTTTCTGTTCATAAGCCCAATACGCTGACCTTTCAACAGATAGTCTTCTTTTATGTTGTTTCCTGAGTGGTTGTCTTTTTTTTTTTTAGTTCCTTTTCCCCCTTCATTTTTCTTGTATGTGGGCACCTGTTTTTAGACAGGGGGTTCTGTAGGGAAAAAAAAACTTCTGCTCCCTCACCTAGTTGTTAACCTTGATATGATCATTTCCGTTTGTTTTGGTGATAGCCTGTGGTTATTGACAAAGCTATATATTGCGTGATTTGCAGAGGTGGAGATTGGAGAACCGGGGGAAGCTGTCACCTGGAGGCACTTCCAGATTTAGGCTCTTCATTGGTGCCACCCCACACGTGGGCTCGATACAGTATATTTCGTGATGTAATGTCGACTCGCTCAAACACGTCAAATCTAGGAGCATTACATGTTCTAAACGTAACACATCTGACCTCCAGAAGAAAAGATGGACATTCATCTATGTACTATTTGGGTCCTGAGGTAGGCCCCGCGCCTATCAATAGGCAAGATTGCAGCCACTGGTGCCTGCCGGGAGTCCCAGATACATGGAATGAGCTACTCTATGCCCTATTTATGAAGCGCGAAGCAACTCAAACTTATAACACCTCAACCATCCAGGTACAGTGATCCAGGGGTTGCTGATAGGAGATGTACTATATGTATACGCTCTCCACAAGACTAAGATGTGTCAAATATAAATGCTTGTCCGATAAAATACAGTATCGAGGAGATACAAAAAATTACCAGACACACAGGAGGCAAGGCAAGAACCCGTCTCATGGCTGTTTCAAGACTTGCTTCTATTGTAGAGTGTGTATTGACTGAAGAGAAGCCCAATTTAGGGGCAAGTTGTAAACAGGGTCATGGAATAAAATAGATATAACCTCATAGATAGGAGTATTCCAAATGTAGTGATTATCATGCTTTTAGTGCATCAAATGTAGAGATATCAAGTTTTGGTTACAACTTGTAGCTGGACAAAGAAAAGAATATAAGTTGAAATAGTTCTGTCAATTAAACTATTCTGTCTGTCTTCTTTGATTGCATTGATACATAGATGATGCAACTAAACTTACCCTGCATATCCAGATTTCAAAAATGAAGCAATTCTACTCCTTCAATATCTTTTGGTTTTGGGTCTATCCTTAATGTTAGAATTGTCCATAAATTTTCCAATATTAACTTCAAAAATAGAGGGCAAAACTCTAGATTATTTCTTCTCATCTATCTATGCCTTGGTGGAAAGACTTGGTAATTGTGTTGCGGAAAGACAGCAGGTACCTCGTGGAATTAGTCCTGCGGCAAGCCCGAACACCACGGTTATGAAGAATTTTTTGAAACAAGGTAGTAATTTACTTCAAATTTTCAATAAACTGAATTTGAGTCTCTTAAAGGGAGAGCTGAAAGCACAAACAAAGCTCAAGCCATATTAATTCCTCTTTCCAATATATCAATTGTGATTGAATAGGAGTGCTTCAAGTTAATATGGGATGACGTACGTTGGTATTTTAAAGTTATAATCATCCATGTTAGTACTTTTGTCACGCCCCAAAACCGAGAGACGCGACCGACGCTCAACCGGAGGACCCCAGTCAAGCGGACCTGGAATTGTCTTTCCTATCACACGCGTTACCCCGTGATTTCAATATACATTATTCCGGTGAAATAGCCATTTATAGCTTAAGCATAAACTTACATCTTGAATTCATTTCTACTTTTTATCATTACCAACATATGATACCAAATACTTACAACATTTACCAACGTGGATCACGATTCCGAACCGTACCATTACTTACCCAAAATACATCTGTACACCACCCACATTGTGTCTACGGAGCCTCTAAGGACACGAAAGGATGATACAATACGTGCTGGTAACAAGGCTCCGACTATATCTTACACAAATGCCAAAACAAGACTCCGGAATAAAAGCGGCATGAGTCGCGCAGGGCCCCGAGAGAAAAGGGGCTCACCAATTCAGCTGACGGAAAGTGAAGGAGCGCTACGGACGGTGGACTGGAGTACCTGCTATAGATCCACCTACAATCATAACACGAATGTAGCGCCCCCGGCAAAAGGGACGTCAGTACATTTGAATTGTACTGGTATGTATGAACAAACTTTACCCCAAGTAAACTCAAACAATACACAAGTAATGTATAGTAATAGAATCAACAATCAAATGCACATGAAAGGAACAACCAAAGTCAAACAAGTTTCACAATCTCTCCTTTTTCCCTTCCAACGTCATTTCATTACATCAACGATTTCACAACTTTCACATACGTTCATTTCAATAGTGATTTCGATCACTTTTCCACCCTTATTACCTCGGCCACCCTTATCACCCCAACCCACAATTTATCATTTTGTGTTGCGGCGCGCAACCCGATCCCACCGGACAATCATATTTCACACAACAACAACAATACTTCACAAAGAATAACAACAACAATTCTTAAGAATTACAACAACAATTCACAAAGAATTTCCATAACCAACAATACCATTTCCATCATATTCAACAACTCATATGCATTTTATGTCACAGCAATAATTGCCCACGACAAGCCATATATGTTATTACCACAGTTGTTCCAATTGCATCATTTACGATTTCCTTCCATCATTTGTTTCTCAGCTCTTACCACATAACTCTTTCACAATCACCCATTTGCTTTATTGCCAATTACTTACACCATTATATCGGGAGACTTAACCATGAACACTCAAATCATACCAATCACAGAATTTCACACATAATCCACGTAGATATCACATACCAAATATTCGTACACCAAACAAGGTGATTTTACAAAGGTCAAAGTTAGCCATACATACCTGGAGCCGGATTTCCTTTTAACTTCTACTTTTAATTCACCAAACGGTCTAGCAACGTCAATCTAGTGCACAAGGTAAACATATTTCTTAGAATTGAAGCTCACAATTACTACCCGAACATTTTTTTGGTTATCAGCCCTTCTTTTGCAAACCTCTACTTCTACCCAATTGAACTTTCTCTCTCAAGAACCCTCTCTTCCCTCTCTCTTATTTTGTTCAGAAAGTATGTTAAAATGAGGGATTGGGGTATTTTATTAAAAAGGGGGTCGGGTTTAAAATTTAGAAAAATAGGAGCCCGAGTCAAGTTTGCGGTCGCACTTTGTGATCGCAGAGTGGAAATGCGGTCCGCATAATGGACCGCAAAAGTGCTCCAAAACTCTGATCCTCCTGTCTGGGTTTGCAGCGAAAATGCGATCCGCATACACGATCTGCGGTCGCATAATGCACCGCATAATTGACCTCAAATTTGACTGGCACATGGACTCATTTTGCGATAGAAATGCGGTCCGCATATCAGTTATGCGGTCGCATAATGGACTGCATTTTGACCTTAATTTTAACCAAACCACTGACTCAATCTGCGGCAGAAATGCGGTCCGCATACGTGATTTGCGACCACATTCTGAACCGCAAAATAACACTTTTCTAGAAAAACTTGGTTCTTTAATTTTTAAATACTTATATCAGTACGATGGGTTTGAGCTCAAATTTTTCACGGGGCCTTACAACTTTTTTCTATCTTATGTATGAGAAATGAATTTTGGCATAATATTTGATGTTCCAATCAAACAACAAATCTATCTTCTTTTGTAGTCTATGTACGCCGTCAAGCTATTAATTAGACAATGTTTTTAAGCCTATGCTTCTCAACCATATTCTTGTAAAATTAATAAATTTTAAATGATTACTATTTATTTAGTTATCGTTTGGACATAGATTCCCAAATTTGTTTTAAAAAAATCTAATTTGGGTGAAGTTTGGTTTGAAGATAAAAATGTGTTTGGACATTAGTTTTCAAAACATATTTGACTTTTTTTTTTCCTGAAAAAACATGAAACATGACTTATACACACAAGTTTTAAAAACTATCACAAATATCCAACATTACCTTCATCAATAATATTCATTATCATTACCACAAACCGTAGTCCTAAACATAAATAAATTTGGTACAAAATTATCATTTTTATAATGAACTGCATGATACACTATCAGATGACCGAGAACACGAAGCAAAGTTGTTACAAAATAAAAAATGGTGGGCTCTTTTATAAAAATATAAAAGTTTGGGGTAATTTTAAAAAAATATAATAGTAATATTTGGGTCAAAACCAGCTCTTGAATTGGTTTTGGGATTTGGATTTTGGGAATTTGCCAAAATATGGATAAAAGTTCTGAACAAACATGTATTTGCCAAAAAAAATTGGGCAAAATCTATAGACAAACGGTCCTTAATCTTTTGGCTTAATTTTATCTAACAAATTAGTATATTCTCCCCTTTTGATACACCAGTAAAACTTAGATTTCGACACCTGCAAACTTATTAATCCTAAAAGAAACTAACTATGACTTCTTTGTGAGTATCAAACCATCCATTTATTTTGTAACCATTATAATTATGAATGTCGACATTATTATTATAATATAATATAATATTACATTATTATTACTATTATTCCATTTCTATCTTTCTATATGACATATTATAAGGAGTCACAAATTTTTATATGACATTTCAATTATTTTAACATATCTTAGTTTTTTAAAAAAGGAACAAATTAATATCCGTTTTATAAATTTCTACTAATGAAAATATCTTTTTTTTAAGTGTGTCCTTTATGGTTTAAGCCTCATATTTCTAATGTTTGCTTTTTTGTCGACAAGTGCATCATCTGCTTGCAATATGGGGGAAGTGCGAGCATAAACAGCTGCTTAAAGTGGAAGCTAGTAGGTCCAATCCAACATAAACGTGAACTTCTCCCTTTCGCTGCTCCAATGGCGGATTCGACATCACAAAGCAGATCAAGGGACCTCGACAAGCTCCTTCTCCGCCCCGGAAATCTCGTTGGGCCGACCTTCGAGGCCGGTACAGAGGTAAAATCCCCCATACAAAACCCTACTCCTTTTTATTTTTTAAGACGATCATGTTGCAGCTAATCTACGAATATAATTCTGATCGCTTGTATTCTTTTAACAGTTGAGAGATGATTTAAAGGAGTATGTAAGAGTGTTAGTGATAGGTGCTGGTGGATTAGGTTGCGAATTGCTTAAGGATTTGGCTTTCTCTGGATTTCGTAACCTCGAGGTCATTGATATGGACCGAATTGAAGTTACCAATCTCAATCGCCAGTTTCTCTTCAGGTGCCGTAATATTTTTCGTTTTTAAACTATGCAATTCGACATTTTTGTTGAATTTGTAATGTGTGTATTATTGAAGTGGTTTGTATTGACTGATTTTTGGCCTCATGTTCTTTCCTGATAGCAATTTCCTTTTCCTATGCAAAATTCAGCTAAAAAAAGTACATTGTGAAAGCAAAAGAAACAATAGGCGATACAAACTAGTTGGAATTATAAGTATGAGATTTTTGAAACAATCTAGTTTTAGAGAACCTGTAGTTTACTTTAAAGAACACATTATGTAGTAGCCCAAGGGCTTAGTTCAAGTGGCAAAGGATGAGGGACTTGTGATCACAAGTTTTATTTTTCTTTTTTTAATAACCGTGGTGTCCGGGCGAGCTTGCGCGCAACTTGATTAAATCCACGGGATACCTGCTACCTTTCACCAGCAACAGGTACCAGGTAACTCTATCCACCAAGGCTTGGATAGATGAGAAGAAATCACCTAGTGTTTTTGTCTCTGCTGAGATTTGAACTTGAGACCTCAAGTTCTCAACCCATTATTGACTACTAGGCCACACCCTTGGGTGCATTAGTTCAAGTGGCGGAGGTTGAGGGACTTGTGACTTAGAGTGACTTAGATCACAAGTTCTAGCCCTGCACCATGCAAAGTAAGCCTGGAATTTAAATATAGAAGAGTAGAGGGGTGGGCCCATTATACCCAAGTTTCGAAGGTTGCGGTTGGTCCTCAGAGTTGACCCAGACGAATTTCTCGGTCTTAATAGAATAGAGGAATACATTATAAAGTAGTGTAATAAAGTTACCAATCTCAATTGCTAACTTTTATTCAGGTGCGGAGTATTTTTTGAGTTGCATCGTTTTCTGAATTTATGCAATTCAAACTTACGGTTAAATTCTTGTTGTGTACATTGTTGAAATTGTAGTTTTTAGTCACTTCTTCAAAAAGGCACTTTAGGGTTACAAAACCCAAGATGAAGTGAATGGTGTGGGATGATGCACAGAGCATTTTCATTCGTGTAGCTGTTATTTTCGAGGAGGATAATGTCCTTCTCCCTGTTTATGAAAGGAGGGTTTATCCTTCTTCCATTTTGTAGTTTCTAATGTATGGTTATAGCTATGTGCAAGTATATGATCCTTGAGTCTACTTTCACTTTGGATTTAGGGTATAGATGTATCCCCTTAGCGTTTTGCTTGCAGGCACAATTTCTTTTATAAATTTTAGCAACCATATGTTTATTAGTATTTCTTCTTATAGTTCTTCCTATGTAGACTTGAAGATGTAGGGAAACCAAAGGCAGAAGTTGCTGCTAAAAAAGTGATGGAGAGAGTCAATGGTGTAGAAATCAAGCCACATTTCTGTCGGATTGAGGACAAACCAATAAGCTTCTACAGTGATTTCCAAATTATTGTTCTTGGTCTTGATTCTGTCGAAGCTCGAAGCTATATAAATTCTGTAGCTTGCGGCTTTCTAGGTTTGTGTTTTCTACTTATGCTTTTCAAACAAGTTGCATTGGCTGTTCAAATTATTTTCTGAGTAGTTTACTTGAATGCTTCCGCGTTCTGCCCATTCTTTTTTTCAATTGCTTAGGAGAACAAAAGTTTCTGATTGAGTAGTTGTAGATTATAGATTTTTTCTGTTTGATTGTCCAACCACTCATCCCCTCTCTCCCGTCATCTTGTTGCTGATCTTGAAACAATGTCTGGGTGAATGGGAAGGTTGTAAGTGATACTTCTTCGTAAAATGCAAAACCACCTTTTTTCTTTCTTTGATGAATAAAATGGAGAGCCATTCTTTTTACCGTGGAACATCAGATCCTTAGGCTTCTAGCTAGATGTGTTCTAGATGAATCAAGATTGGGCCCCGATCAACAATGAGATTGTTATTTTCCTGAATCTGAGCTCGATTCTCAGAGCTTAAGCTCAGCTATGGAGGAAACTCTGTGAAGAACGAAGAATGTAGAAGAAGGAGAAAGTCGGTTGTATTATTTTCTCTATCTAAAAAATGTATACAGTTGTCCTCTATATACAAGTAATAGCTCCACTCTTAATTAAGCCAGCTGGCATAACTAACTAACAGTTCCACTAACTACACCTAACTGTGGTTACTTCACTAACCCAAGTATGGTTACATTCAAACTATCTACACTACTGACTCCAATACTCCCCCTCAAGCTGGAGGGTGCAAAATATTAAGAACTTCCAGCTTGCTCAACAGAAACACATGTTGTTCTTTTCCAAGTCCCTTAGTAAGCAAATCAGCCTGCTGTTCTTTAGTTCCAATGTAGTGAGTCTGCACCTTTCCTTCTTTAATCTTGTCCCTTATAAAGTGACAATCAATCTCTATGTGTTTGGTCCGCTCGTGGAAAATGGGATTTGCTGCAATTTGCAAAGCAGCCTTACTATCGCAGTAGATATCAACTGGTTGCTTGATGTTTACCTTTAACTCTGCAAACAATCCCAAAAGCCATGTCACTTCTGAAGTTGCTGCAGCCAAACTCCTATACTCTGCTTCTGCAGAGCTCTTTGACACAGTTTGTTGCTTCTTTGATTTCCAAGATATCAGGGAACTACCAAACTTCACTAAGAAGCCAGTTACTGACCTTCTTGTATTTGGGCAAGCTGTCCAATCTCCATCACAGAAACACACCAGTCGATCTGCACCTTCACTACTCATTAATATCCCCATTCCTGGTTCTTGCTTCACATACTTCACTATTCTCATGGCTGCTTCCCAATGAGACATCTTTGGTGATTGCATGAATTGACTGAGTGTCTGGACTCCAAAACTTATATCTGGCCTAGTGAATGTCAAGTACAATAATTTTCCTATTAATCTTTGATAGGCTGAGACATCTGTTAATGGCTCATCTGCCTTCGATCCTGTGTATTCATCATATTCCACAGAAGTAAATTTCTGGTTGGTGTCAAGAGGAGTTGAAACTGGTTTTGCTCCTCCCAGTCCCAAATCTGAAATCAATTGCAAGGAATACTTTCTCTGATTCAACAATATTCCTTTGTTGGATCTCAACACTTCTATTCCCAGAAAATATTTCAGCTCTCCAAGGTCTTTTACCTTGAATCTTTGGTGTAGCACTTGTTTTGTCTCTTGAATCAGTTGCTCACTGCTCCCTGTGATCAGCAAATCATCTACATACACCAACACTACAACTATGTCATCTTCTCTGGTCTTGGTGAACATTGAATAATCATATAGACTCTGACAGTATCCTGCATCAATCAGTGCTTCAGATAGTTTGATATTCCATTGTCTTGAGGCCTGTTTCAAGCCACATAGAGATTTCACTAATTTGCACACTTTTGTCTCCCCCTGTTTCCTGAAACCCTGGGGTAACTCCATGTACACTTCTTCATATAAATCTCCCTGCAAGAAAGCATTGTATACATCCATTTGAGACAAATTCCAGCCTTTTGAAGCCGCCAGTGCAATGACTGATCTAACGGTCACCATCTTTGTAACTGGTGAAAAAGTCTCATGGTAATCTAATCCTTCCTTTTGACTATAGCCTTTAGCGACTAACCTTGCCTTAAATCTCTCAATCTCACCATTTGCCTTGTATTTTATCTTGTATACCCACTTGGAACCAATAGCATTCTTTCCATTTGGTAAATCAACTATCTCCCAAGTATTGTTTTCTTCCAATGCTTTGATTTCCTGCTTCATAGCTTCTACCCATCTGTCATCCTTTGAAGCTTCTTGGAAATTCTGTGGCTCTGTGTCTAGTGAGAATTTTGCTAGAAAGCTTCTATATTGTGCTGATAGGTTATCATAAGATACATAGTTTGATAGTGGATATATTGTAGTGTGTGCATGCTTCTTTGTCACATAGTCCTGATGCCACAAAGGTGGTTTTGAGGTTCTTCCTGATCTTCTCAATTCACTTTCACTATCCATTGTATTGTCTGCAGCTTGTACTTCTTGTGATATGCAATCAACATTCTCAAGTGTCTCATGAGTGACATTGTCATTGTTTGATGCATCAGCCACAATACCTATGGCATCAGTATCCTGGGCATCCTGAATGAATGTTAATGTCTGCATCATGTGCATCAACAGCTTCATCATGGGCAGCATCTACTACATCACTGATCACAGTTTCATCATGTGCATCAACAGCTTCATCATGGGCAGCATCTACTACATCATTGATCACAGTTTCCTGGTGAGCTGCATGAGCTAGTGAGTGTCTCCCCCTGTCAGGAGCTACACCAGGACCAAGAGGCAGGTGAAGAGGTGTTGTAACAGGGGTAAAAGAAGTTGGTGCAGGCTCTAACTGTGAAAAAGGAAATAAGTGTTCCTTAAACACCACATCTCTGCTCACAAAAAATTGTTTAGTAGTTAGATCAAGAAGTTTATAGCCCTTCTGAGATGCAGAGTACCCTAGGAAAACAGCTGCCCTGGCTCTTGCCCCAAACTTATCATTTTTCACAAGGTTGGTGGCATAGCAGAGGCAATCAAAAACCCTCAGATGATCAACGGATGGTGGCCTTCTATATAATAGTTCATATGGTGTCTTCCCTTGTAAAACTTCACTGGGCATTCTATTGATCAAGTAAACAGCTCCTTCTACACATTCACCCCAATATCTAGCTGGTATGCAAGCCTGAAACTTCAATGCTCTAGCTATGTCCAATATGTGCCTATGTTTTCTTTCTACGATGCCATTTTGTTGTGGAGTGTACGCACAACTACTTTGATGTAATATCCCATAGGAGTCAAGCAGTGCATTACAATGTTGATTAAAGAATTCTGTCCCATTGTCTGTCCTAATTATCTTTAGGACTGCAGCAAACTGAGTTTTAACAAAAGAAAGGAAATGCTTCAACACAACAATCACATCACTTTTCAACTGCAACAGATATATCCATGTAAACCTTGTATTGTCATCAACAACAGTAAGAAAGAAATGCTTCCTGTCATGAGTAGGGGTTCTATAGGGACCCCATACATCCATATGCACTAGTTCCAATGGTTTCTCACTTCTAGAGTTACTAATAGGAAACACAAGTCTACTTTGCTTTGCTAATGGACAAATAGGACAGTCCTTATTTATGGAAACATCTACATCTTATTTTGTAAAAACTACATATTCTTCATGGTATTGGCTGAAGCATGCCCAAATCTTCTATGCCAAAGATTGCTATCTGCCTCCTTTCTTTGAACAACAATATCTGCTTTTGAACTTGCTATCTCTTTTCCAGTTCTTTTCTGTTTCACAATGTATCGGCCACCTTCTTCTCTACCAATCCCCCTCACCCTGCCATTGTAAAGATCCTGGAATACACAAAAATCAGGAAAGAAATTGACAGAGCAAGAGAGTGCCTTGGTTAATTTTGACACAGACAACAAGTTGAACTTGAAATCTGGGACATATAACACCTAATCCACCTGCATCTTGTCTAAGAAATCTGCTATTCCCATATGAGTTATTTTAGCCTTTTCTCCATTAGGCAAATTCACTTGATCCTTGTTAAACGAGTCTACCTTAGTGTGAGTTCTAAGCATATTTAAATCTGCAGTAATATGATGTGAAGCACCTGAATCTATGATCCATTCTCCAGAACACACATCAGTCATTAAACATGTAGTGATACCTGTCATGTTTGCTTGTGGATTAGTGGTTTCCTTGTTCAGCATCCCCAGAATCTGCTTGTATTGATCCTCTGTAAAGTAGGAACCAAACTTTGGTGGCTCAGAACTGTTTCCTCCTTCCATTCTCTCTGGCCTTTTGTCCAATTCAGCATTTCTAGTCACACTGTTAGCTGCGTACTTCTTCTTTCCCTTGAAGTCACTTGGATAACCATTCAATTTGTAGCAATTTTCCTTCAAATGACCTTTCATATTGCAATAGTCACATTGCATAAAAGGTTTTTTTCCTCTATAAGGTTGTCCTCGACAAACCTGCATAGCCATTGGATCTGCCTTCCCTGTCAGTGCTGGAAACAGATTGGATCTTTGACTTTCATCCTCGATAATCATACCATATGCCTGATTCAAGGTAGGTTCAACAGTCTTCATAAGAATCTGCCTTCGTGCCTGCTCATATGACTCATTAAGTCCACTAAGGAATTGAAGTAACCTCTGACGATGCAGATGCTCAATGTAATCTCTCGATTTTGGGTAGTCACAGCATGGTGAAGGCACTAGGGCATCATACTCTGCCCATAACTCCTTCAGTTTGGTGAAATATGCTGCAACTGAATCAGTTCCTTGTGAAATTGTGGAAATTTCTCTGTGTAACTGAAAGATACGCACTCGATTCACCTTATCAAAACGCTCTTGTAGATCTTTCCAAACCAGATGTGCATTCGATGCATAAACAATCCCGCTAAGAAGATCTGACGACACTGTGTTCATGATCCAAGATAAGACAATCGCATTGCATGTTTCCCAATCTTCATGCAATTCAGCCTTAAATTGATCCTTTGTGCAAGTGCCAGTCACAAACCCTAATTTTCTCTTAGCTTGAAGGGCAATTCGCATCGTTCTGCGCCAAAGACCGTAATTTTCAGATCCTATGAGCTTCACCGGAATCAAAATCGAGCCAGGAGTGTCTGAAGGATGTACGAAGAGTGGATGAGTGTGATCAATTTTTCCTTCTTTCTCATCTCCCATTGTTGAACAAAAAAACAGAGAATCGACCTTGAAAGAGGAAGACTAGATCTGAATTATGTGGAATTGCACAACGAGCGTATGACCCAGTCGTTACTGCTCTGATACCATGTTATTTTCCTGAATCTGAGCTCGATTATCAGAGCTTAAGCTCAGCTATGGAGGAAACTCTGTGAAGAACGAAGAACGTAGAAGAAGGAGAAAGTCGGTTGTATTATTTTCTCTATCTAAAAAATGTATACAGTTGTCCTCTATATACAAGTAATAGCTCCACTCTTAATTAAGCCAGCTGGCATAACTAACTAACAGTTCCACTAACTACACCTAACTGTGGTTACTTCACTAACCCAAGTATGGTTACATTCAAGCTATCTACACTACTGACTCCAATAAAGTATAAATCCATTTCTATTTTCCTGTTACCATTTATGGTACATGCTTCTTTTGTTTACTGCTTGGCTGCTTTATCTTTATCTCTACTGTTCCTTGAGCCGAGGGTCTATCGGAAACAGTCTCCCTATCTTTATAAGGTAGGGGTAAGGTCTGCATACACACTACCCTCCCCAGACCCCATTTATGGGATTACACTGGGTTTGTTGGTGTTGTATGTATGGCACATGCTTATTGAAACCAGTTTCTATAACTTCTATAAGAGGCCAAAATTGAAGTAAGAATAAGAGATAAATGCAAAGTAACAGATATTAGATTCTGGTCGGATAGAGTAGTTTGACTTGGATATTTGTCTAAGCATCAAGATGTAAAAATGAAATATATGAGGTCCCACATGCTTGGATTTGCACAAAGACGCTTCTTCCATCATATGTTGCTCATATTTGTATATCTGTATCATCAACTAGACATATAAGAGTGTTCAACTTTGAAGATAACGTGCAAATACTGAAATAAGTAACATATTTCCAATGGAAAAAACCAAGTGTACATACATGAGAGGAAAAAATATGCATCATTTAATGCTCTTCTTTGGCTGACCCCAACTTGTTTGGGACTGAGGCGTAGTTATTTAACGTTCTTCTTTCACCGTTGTTTCTTATTTACTCTTTTGTTGTTTGCATTTGACTTTGAAAGGGAAAACACTGACTAAAGAGCAGATGGGGACTATTACTTGTACTTATACAGTCAGAGTACTGATGTGATATACTCAGTTTTATCAAATAATCCTTGGGGAAGGGGGACCTTTATCAAACCCTCAAATGAAAGTGAGATGATATTTTAGTCCTGAAAACCTTAATGTGGTTAAACTAAGGGGCTGTTATATTAGGATTTTATCGTTATAACGTGTCCGGATTTTGCGAATTGCTTCTCGTTGTTTATGTGTGTATGTATTAGATAACTGACAGCTAACTAACAGATATGAACCTCATTACTGATGACCTAACATAATTAAATAAACTAAAAGGAGCCTTAGCATTAGAAAAGAACTAGTATATAATCTTTTCCACATCACTACTAATCAATCTCTCGTGTAAGTTTTTGTTTAATTAAATTTTGTACAAAATATGACCAATCAAAAATTTGCATAAAACACGAGAAGTAATCTGATCATAAGGAGGAGAAAAGTGATATTATGATTAAATCGGTGCAACTAAAATATGGAACTGAAACCGATCTGGACTCCTATGCGGTTTGGATTGGCCCTTCCCATTTGCGTAACTGGCCTGTGACTGTCCAAGAGTGGTCTTTAGCCTCAGGGCCAGATTGGCCCATACCAACCTGTGACCCCTCCAAACCCCAAGATGTCTAGCCCCCAAAGATAAACAGGAATGTCATTGACATCAAGGTTGGAACCCTTGTTATAAGTTGAAGACCATTAACTGTTACGCCAACCAATTTGTTAGTCAAACTGCTCCTATTTTTAATACACATTTCAATTTTTGTGGTACAAAATTGATTCACAAATTCAATGATCATATTAAATTGACAATCTTATAGAACTATGGATGTATTTGAACTTCTGAGTGCTATCAGTTTATTTGATTTTGAAATATAACTTTGAAATTCTCTTCCAATTTTGGGGAGATGCAAACTGAGAGGGAATGGATCTTTTTTTTTTTCCAATTTACTCCACTTTTGCAAGCTTGAACCAGCGCTTCTTGGAGCAGCCCTTTCATTTTTAAAGGAAAACCAAATTGATTAAACAGACATGAATTAAGAAGATACCGAAGTACGGAGGGAGAGATGGATCTGATTGAATAAATTTTAAATAAAGATATTCTACTAACTAGGCATTTTCAGAAGCCAAAGTGTGGGTTGAAGCTCCTTCAGACCATGGGGAAATGTGTCTCATGCTCCTGGCTAGTTTTCATACTTAGTGGAAGGAGGTCGGTGAAAGTGCACTAGATTTAGCTCATCCATCTGACATTATGTGTAGAGTACGATTCTGATGATAACCCACGAGAAGAGACAATTAAGCCTATGGTTGATGGTGGGACTGAGGGATTCAAGGGCCACGCAAGGATTATAATGCCAGGTGTTACCCCCTGCTTTGAGTGTACAATATGGCTCTTTCCTCCACAAGTGAAGTTTCCATTATGTACTCTTGCTGAAACTCCAAGAACTGCTGCTCACTGCATTGAGTATGCACATCTAATCAAATGGGATGAGGTAAGTATTGAACTTCCCAGCCCTTGGTTATCCATGCTTCTAGACCAACTGCACTGTTTTTCACCCTAGATGTTTTATGCAGGTTCATAGTGGCAAAACATTTGATCCAGATGACCCTGAACACATGCAATGGGTGTATTCAGAGGTTGATTTATGCTCTTTTCTTTCTCCATTCCTAGTACTTAGACGTGTGCTACATTTCTCATGTTTCCTTTCTCAATCCTCGACTTCTCTGATCATGTGCTGTAGGCTGTTAAGAGAGCAGAGCTCTTTGGAATTCCGGGAGTTACCTATTCTTTGACCCAGGTAAGCTCATGGTATGGAACAATGTTTTAATAGGCGGGGGCGTGAGGCGAGGCGTTTTACCTCTGACGAGGCGAGGCGTTAGCCCTAAGAGACGGGGCGTAAGTCCCATGGATCTTTAAATTTTACTAATTTCAAGAATTTTAAGATAGTATGAATAAAATTATAAAACTATAATAAATAATCTATTTAAAATATTTATAATTTATAATTCAACTATGAATAATATGAAAAGTATGACATATATCGCAAATTAGCTGCAATGTCGTTACAACTCAAACATTAAAAGTAATGTATTTGATACATAATCTTATATGTATCTCTTAAGGAGTAATAAATTTTGAAAGAATTTCGATATTATAATTTGATATTTCTCTTAAAATACTCCTTTTATTTAATATGCTTTCTATTTGAAAGAGGATTTATATAAAAGCATAATTCATAATTTAAATATGATTCTCTAGCATCATTTATTTTTAAGTTTGAACAAGTTAATAAAGTGACACATAATTCACCGTACAATACCATGATAACTAATTATTTGTAAATAGTTACTAGCTACTGAGCTATTCGATTAATAAGTATGGTATCTCGTAAACGTGAAAAAAAATAATATTTTGAAAATAATTATGAAAAAATTACGGACTATTATATAGTAAAGACAAACAAACGTTAATAAATAAATACTTTTTAAATGAAAGATTTATATAAAATTAACTATTATAGCAGTCTTAGTGGATAACGTGCAATAATTTTTATTTTAATTATGACATAAAATACTCTCAACTTAATGACTTATGATTAAGAAAAAAATAATTTTGAATAGTCAATGATTTATTAAGAAAATTTGAGGATTTATAAGGTTAGTTACATACAATTGCATAAAGTTTTATTAGGCGAGCCTAGTACGCTGGGTGTTGAGCGTGTTCGGGGCGTAAGCCCCAATGGCCGAGGCGTAAGTCTCACGAAACTAAGCCCCACACATAAGCCCAGGGGAGTTTTACGAGTGCTCCACCCCGGGGCGAGACCCGGGCGAGTCCCAATTCTTCTGTAGACAACTAGACATCCTCCTATAGATATGGCCAAACTTAAAGTATTTATTTCATTATGCATTGAGGTGAGAACCTATTCTACTCCAGCCATATTAGGCTGGTATAGTGGTTTTGTGCAGTCATGTGTTCTCAGTTCATATTGAATAATCTTTCATTATTGCTTACAGGGTGTTGTTAAAAATATCATTCCTGCTATAGCATCCACCAATGCTATAATTTCTGCTGCCTGTGCTTTGGAGACCTTGAAGCTTGTCTCCGGATGCAGCAAAACTCTATCAAATTACTTGACGTAAGTCTGTTAAATCCTAATTTACTTAGCTCCGCCGCTGTTGCAGGTTGTGTCTTATGAATCAATTGTCTTATCGTCAACATTTGCACTTTAATTTGATAACATCTTGAAGGTTAATCTTTCCTTATGACTTCTTCAAAAGAAATGCAGTTATGTACTTGTGATTCATTTGAAATTAAGAACTAAGTTATCCTGAAGCAGCAGAAGTCTTTAGTTTCCTGTCTTCTCTGTTAATGTCTTGTATCTTGCTTTCTGTTTGATAAATGAGTTCTTTACTTTGTTTATGCCCGTAACATTATGTTAGGATTTTTTACCCTAATTTGTGTTCCATGATTCTCCCCTTGCAACAGCTCATCTGCGTTCCTCTTCTTCTTCTTCTCTCTCTCTCTCTCTCTCTCTCTCTCTCTCTCTCTCTCTCTCTCTCTCTCTCTCTCTCTTTTGTTGCATTATCATTACTCACGAATTGAATTTCCCTTTAAAACATTTGGCTAAGCTCTGTTGACTTATGTGGAATTCTATACCTGTTGAAGGTACAATGGAGTTGAAGGTCTGCACACCAAAGTGACCGAGTTTGTGAGGGACAAAGAGTGTCTTGTTTGTGGTCCTGGCGTTCTCATTGAGCTGGAAGCTTCAGTTACTTTGAAAAAGGTTCTTGTTCTTTTTATTTCTCAGCTCTTTAAGGTTACTAATCATTCACAAGATTGTTCACTAAAACACTAAGACACCTCCTCAGTAACATTTTGATATATCGTATCTCAAAATAGAGTGCTTCCTAATCTACATTCAGAAAAAAGGAACCAGCTAATTGGGGAAGAACGTCCCAGTATTGACCTTGTCAACTTATCGTGCATGTTTCAACGTGTACTTGATATGACTGTTCTTTTGAGGCTTGAGAATAGAACTCGGCTGAAATACTGGAGTTAGTAGTATCAAAAAAGAGAATAGAATTCGGCTGAAATACTGGAGTTAGTATGTTGGCCACCTAACTATATTAGGCCACTCCTGATAATGATCATGAGTGGTGATACTGCTGTCTCTACAGGCAAAGGAGTGTCAAGACCAGATAAGCTTCATGAAGGGGAGTAGTAGGAACTAGGAGCAAGCAAGAAATCCTAAGGTCCCTAGAACCTGTTGAAAGAAAAGGGAAAAACTTGTCATGAAAGTTTGAAAATGTCTGAAAGCCAATGTATACAGCCTCAAAGACAGAAAATTCGTAATCCTAATTATGAAAATATTTCGTGTCTTAACCACCCAATATAATATTATTAAATCCATCTAAAGAAGGATAATTGTAAAAGGAAATAAAGCAGAAAATGGAACTTATGAGATAACTTGGCATCTGCAGCAATTACATTAAACAATAATCAACGTATGGCAGCCTCGAAACAAGAATCTCTCATACAGCAGATAAGTTGAAGTTCCATCTTTTTTGAGAATGGTAACAGTTATATTAAAAACACAGCACAAAGGCTGTGCTGGGAAGTGGTAACCATTTACAGATTCCAGAAAGTAATCAAAAACCTATCTTTGCTCCTTACAAGGATTCTATGATGTCTAAAATGGATTCATCATTTACATAGTTTTCTTTATACCAAAAATGAAAAAGCAGAATACAATTCGTTGGAAGTTCCATTTAGATGCTTCAATGTTCTTTGTGCTGTTCATAGCCAATGTTCATAGTAACTTCCTGGTATGGATTGCTTGTAGTAAAAGTTGGAATGATCACATAGGACCTTATCATACTCTTGGTTGGATAAAAGCTTTACTTAAACCATCTTTTGAACAATTGGATAAGCAAAAGAGAGGAGAGACCTTTTTTTTTTTTTTTTTTTNGTAGTAGTAGTAGTAGTAGTAGTAGTAGTAGTAGTAGTAGTAGTAGTAGTGTGTGTGTTGTGGGNGGGGGGGGGGTTAATATTTATGTTTCTGTCGGAGTTCATTACTCCCACTGATTTGCCCTTTATGATGTCTGGATGATCTGTGACTGTGTGCAGCATCTCATTCACATAGTTTCTCTATGTTGAAAGCTGGAAACTGCTAAAGAACTTTCGGAATTACTCTCTCTGATACACTGAGTTATCTGCCATAAAAACCTCATGGGAAGATACCTATATTGAAGACCATATAATTTGATGCACTAACTTCCTATCAATTTCGCCTTATTGTTTGAGCATGTTAGACATTCCACCACGACAAAAGGGTAATAAATGGATTGGTTGGTGATACAAGTAATAATGTTTTAGCTTTCGTCTCCTTTCTGGTTTTGTGCAGTTCATTGGTCTGCTAGAAGATCACCCTAAGCTACTATTAAGTAGAGTAAGTGTGACGTATCGAGGGAAGAATCTGTACATGCAAGCACCTCCAGTACTGGAAGAGATGACTCGATCGAATTTGGATTTACCATTGTTTGAGCTTATGAGCAAAACTCCAAGGGACATTGTTCATGTTACTGGTACAGCCGGGAAAGGAGATACAAAGCAATCATGTTCAAGGAAATTACGTGTTGTTTTCAAGGGAATTGATGGGGTTACAGATATGGACATGGCTGGTGGGGCTTAATATTCAGTTATCCACTAGCCTTTTACTTGTTTCTGGTAAGCCTACTTTTAGGAGCATAGCTTCTTTCCTTCCTCTAATTTTTCTCTAGTTCAACGCATGAGCAAAATGCAGTAACTGACGAGGTTGATAGGGAATACCTCCATTTTTGTAACTCTTTCTTATCATGTCGACGTAAAAATTGGTGAATTGTCACCAACATGTGAAATGAAATGAGAGAGTTCTTCAATTCCTAATCATTACTTGAAATTTGTCAAAATACTTGAACTTCAGATCAATCTGATACTAATTTTCTTCATTGCTTCTCAAAATTATCTGCTATAGACGCGAAAATGCATAGGCAACTATATAGGTAAAGAAATCGCAAGTTGAATGGAGAAATTGCTGGTATTGCGGTACTTGGCTGATGCTTCTTAATTGTTTAATCCTAAAGCCGTGATTATTATTTATTCAACTTTTATATGCTGGGTTGATGGTCTATTTATTGATGAGGCACAGGCACCTTCTCTATGCTTGTTATTGGATCGTTTTTTGGTTTCGTTTATATGTTTGGTATATAGCGTAAATCTCCTCCTTTTTAGATAATCTAAAGACTGAGTTGCCTGCAGACCCTCTTTGTACATACTTTTGACAGCCTCAGCTTTTAAAAAAATAATACTCCGTACTAGTAATGATGATAATGAGCTGCTCCGACTCCTCCTATCTTATCGATTCAAAGAAGAAGTGATAAATGAAAGAACAAATGATTTGTCATAAAAGGGGGAAGACCAAGCTGTTGACCTTGGACAGGTATAGTTGGACATTAATGAATTATAGCAGTCGCAGATGCAGAGAATGGGCGTTTTTTCCAATCTTGGTAGAAATATTGCCAAGTAGTACTTCATCTACCACTCAACTAACTTATCCAAAATTCAATTCCGATAGGTCTTCTCCTCTCTTCTTCCCCCCACCCCATCTCCAAAAGGAAGGGGACATTTGGAAGGGTGGTGGTGATAAGTGTGTGATCTTGCAATTGTCTCCAGTCAAACATTCTAATCGGACAAATCTGGAAAAGAAATAGATCTAAAAATGGATTTCGAGATCTGTTCTATTTTAATGTTTGTTTCGTGCAATGTTACTTGTCATAAAGACAAAACATGGTTTTGCAGATACACCAGACAGTGATACTAAAACCTCTCAGAACCATAGGCTTCTTGCTCCCACAATAGGGTGGGGTCCTTATTGCTCTTTAGCCAGCGAATCTTGTGGTATGGAGGTCACATACACTCATAATTCACTCGTTTTTTTTAGTTGTATACATAAATGTGTCCACTGCAATATGACGAACCTTAAAGAAACGAGTTATCTGTCACATTATTATATATAATTCAATGCAATCCATATATGTGTAAGTGGAAGATCAGCTTCTACTCCACTAAGGACCCTGCTTTTCAAGGTTTTTGAGCGCTCGAGGAGGTGCGTTTATTACCATTAGAGTATTTCACATTGGTTGAGAGAATGTATTGTTTCCTTACTACCGGTATTGGGGTTGAGTCAGACCCAAAGTTCATCTTCTTTTCACGGCGGTAGTCTCATCCTTGGCTTATCCAATATTAGGGTCTCATGTTATGTTATTCATGCTCGAGATATCATTATTAGTCTTAAGCGTGCAGCATTGTGAAGTACAACTTCTAACATTTATTTTGGTTTAACAATTATTATATCTGAACAGTTTGAATGGAGCCTACTGCAAAGAGTTTCTGGCATCTCTGGATGTATTATAGTATACATTACATGTGAGAGACTGGAGGACTGAACTAGCTGGACTATGATAGAAATCATGATGTTACTTAGGGTGTGTTTGGTATAAAAGAAAGCATTTTTCGGAAAATGTCCAATTTTCCCATGTTTGGTTGTCTTAAATATTTTGGAAAACATTTGCCTCATGAACTCATTTTCCTCCAAATTGGAGGAAATTGTTTTCCGTATTAAGATACGGGAAAATATTTTCCAAAACTCTTTTTCAACATTCCCCACCCACCCCCCTAACCCCACTCACCCCTACCCCAACTACCACACCCCACCCCCACCCCAACCCCGTCCTAGCCCCACCTGCCCCTCACTCCCACCCTAAATAGAAATATTATTAAGAGGGTATTAGGATTGACTCATTTTAAGTGCTTATTGGTTTTTATGCAATTTTCTAGTTTTTCTGATAGGCACGAAAAATACAAAAATAAGCCAAAAGCCAAAACTTAGGTATTACCAACTTATGGCTTTTGGCTTTTAGCTTATAAGCTACTTCTTAAAAGCCAATCCAAACACCCTCTAAGAGTACTTTCTTTTTGTTTTTTGTGTTGTAAATAGAGTACTTTTTTTTTTAGGTAATTAACATTTTATTAATCACCAATAATCTTTACAATGCATAGCCTACTTTATAACTCAGCAGCTATATCTTTCAAAACTCAAAACATGAACAAGAAAGAAACTCCTACATACTTTGTCTAATGAAAAATAAAATGTTGAACTAGACTACTGATTTCTTTTGTAGCTCGTACATTACATATGTAGGCTATTTCTCTAGCTAAACTATTGACACTTCTACTTCTTTGCTGAAATGTTCTCATGTTTCTTTCAATCCAAACACCATGAGTTACCTCTGCATATACCATTCTGTATAGTTGTGCTTCATATGATCTACCTTTAGCTCTTTGTGTTATCCATTCTTGATGTTGTATCCAGTTATCTCCAATTGCTTCTTGCCTTTGCATCCATTGTAGTACCTTGGACCACACTGCTTTAGTAAACGAGCAGTTGACAAACAAATGATCTCTGGTTTCCACAGTCAGCTGACATAGAGTACATTTTGGATCCACATTGACTCCCCATTTGATCAATCTATCTGTAGTTAGTAATTTGCCTTGCACTTGTAGCCACATTGTGAAAATGGCTTTTGGTCTAGCCTTGTTCTTGAACATCCTTGTTCTTGAACATCATAGATTTCCATGTAACTCTTGGACTATCTCCCAGCAACTGATAGTAGAACTGACTGATCATGCTCTTTTTGCCCTGCTGCCTGTGTTGCATTTGTTGCAGAACTGTTCTGGCATTTAAAATCTGTCTCACCATCCAGCTCGCCTGTTGTGGGATTGCTATATCTTCTATCCTCTTATCTTTGATGTAGTATGTATGGATCCATCTTATCCATAATCTGTCACTTTTATTTGCTACATCCCAGCATAGTTTTGCAACAGCTGCCTTGTTCCACACTTGCATATTAATCAATCCATAGCCCCCTCTTGATTTAGGTGTACATATCCTATCCCAAGCCACCAGGGATTTCTTTGTGATGGTGTTGATCCCAGACCATATATAACTTCTGCAATAGGCCTCTATCATCTTCATAACTTTCATTGGTATGTTGAATAGTTGTGACCAGTAGGATTGAATCCCAAATAAGACAGTCTGAACTAGTTGCACTCTTCCAGCATAAGAGAGTTTCCTGGCAGTCCATGAGGAGATCCTTGTAACTATCTTTCCTATTAAAGGTTGCCATTGTATCAAGGATAATTTCTTGGTAGCAAGAGGGATACCAAGATATTTAAAAGGTAATTCTCCTATTGTATAGCCCAGCTTTTGGATAATTTCCACCCTAGTACTCTGCTGCACTGCTCCAAAATATACTGAGCTCTTCTGCAAATTTGCCTGTAAGCCAGACACTTGAGAGAAATGATTAAAGCAATCTTGGATGTGAGTAACAGAATTGAGATCACCCCTAGCAAATATCAGAAGATCATCTGCATAACTTAAATGAGTAATCCCTAATTTTGCACACCTTGGATGATACTTGAAATCTTTCACCTCCTTCAATTTGTTAAGTCTCCTGCTAAGGTACTCCATTACAATTGCAAACAAGAAGGGGGAGATGGGATCACCTTGTCTTAAACCTTTGGCAGCATCAAAAGGTGGAGTGGTCTCTCCATTAACCATAACAGTATAGTTAACAGTTTTCACACATTCCATTGTCCAGTTCACAAATCTTTCTGGGAATCCCATTTCAGTCATAACTTGCTCTAAGAAACTCCATTCTACTGAGTCATAAGCTTTTTGGAGATCAATCTTGATCATGCATCTGGCAGAGATGTTTTTTGCTTTGTATAAGCTTTGATTAATTCATGAGCTAAGATAATGTTATCTGCTATCCTCCTTCCAGGTATAAAACCAGACTGTGCTTCACTTATCACTGATGCTATCACTCGTTGTATTCTGCCAGCTAGAACTTTAGAGATAAGCTTGTACAACATGGTACAACAGGCAATAGGTCTGTAGTCTTTTATTGTGCTAGGGTTGGTCATTTTAGGAACCAATGTGATGGAGGTACAATTCACTGCTTTATACAATTTCCCAGTTCTGAAAAACTCTTTCACTGCTTGACTGACTTCTTTTTTGACAATCACCCATGACTTCTTGAAAAAATAAGCATTGTAGCCATCAACTCCTGGTGCTTTGTCACTATCAATAGCACACAAACCATTATAGATCTCTTTATCAGTCACCTCAGCACATAAAGCAAGCTTCTGCATTTGTGATAGTTTAGGCCCATTCTTCATGATCATTTTATCTATTGCAGGTAGAGTTTGAGCTGCTGAACCCATTAAAGATTTGTAGAAACTCACCACTTCCTGCTTTATGCTGTCAGGATGAATCAGTTTATCTCCCCTGATTGACATAAGCTCATTTATTTGCTTTCTCTGATTTCTTTCTTTCATAACAGCTGCAAAGTATTTTGTATTGGAGTCTCCCAGTTTGATCCACTTAGTTCTTGCTTTCTGCCTTAAGACACTTTCTTCAATAAGGGACCACTTTTCTAAGTTCTGCAACAAACTTTTCTCTTCTTCAATCAGATTATCATTGCAAGCTGCATTTATCTTCTGCTGCACCTCTTCTAAAGTTGTTCTAGCTTGTTCAATCTTCATGTTGATGGTTCTATATTGCTCAGTGTTTAGGGTCCTAAGCAGGGGTCTTAGTTTCTTCAGTTTGATCCAGATGTTCTGCATAGTTCCCTCAGTGAAAGATTGGTTCCAGATTCCTTCCACAATGGAAAGGAAACATTCATGATCTGCCTAGACATTAAAGAATCTGAAAGGGATTTTGCCAGGTTTGGGAGCTGAATGGAGAGTTAAAGTCATAGGACTATGATCAGATATGTATGGTAGTCCATATTCAGTAGCCACATGCCCCCATTGCATCATCCACTCATTATTGCCAAAAGCTCTATCTATTCTACTGCTGATCCTGTCAATACATTGCTGTTTATTAGACCATGTGTAATATTCACCTGTCCATGCCAGTTCATTCAGGTTTAGACTAGTTACACACTCAGCAAAATCCTGCACTTCAGTATATGTAATGGGGTCGCCCATATGCCTGTCATTTGTATGCAAGACTGCATTGAAATCTCCACATAGTAACCATGGTTTAGTGTTTCCTGCTGCAATGTCCTTCAGACCACTCCATAATTGTTTCCTTTGTTCTATGGTATTGTAACCATATATAGCTGTAACTGCACAGTCAATTATGCCCATCCTGTCTTGTACCAAACAGTGTATGTATTGAGCTGCAACACTTATGATATTAACATTGTACCACTGTGAATCCCAAGTAACCCATATCCTCCCATTTGGAGCATCTTAATAATTAGTAGCATAATTCCAACCTGGTAGTACATTTGATATAGTTCTACTAGCATTATGTTCTTTGACTCTTGTTTCTACTATGACTGCTAGCTTTATTCTTTGATTACTAATAGGGGTGTGCATTCGATTTATCGATTCGATTTTGACCCTTATCGATAATTACTTATTGATTATTGATTTGTACATATGCTTATCGTTATCGTTTCAATAAGGTTTCGATTTTTTCGATTTCGATTTATCAATTTTGGGGGCTTATCGATTCGGTTATCGATTACACCAATAAGAAAATTTGCGGGATTCCACGGAAAGTATATCGCTATAAACGCGCCTAACTAATATGGACAAAAAGAAGCTAAAATAAGACGAACACCATTTATAATATAAAAATTGTGTCAACAAGCACATGCAACAAAACTAAAGTAAGGGATCAAATGTATGCCACCAACACTCCAACGGTATAAAAAAACAAAACAAAACAAAACACATCATCACGGCTAATTCTGTTTTCCATTAGTTTGAACTTCATTCCCTTGATCTTTAAATATGATCATTCCTTAATTGTGGTAGAGGAAATAATAGGGTAAGGGACTTAAGGTAAAGGAAAGGGTATAGATTAGGGAAAATAATATTGTATAGCCGCTTTCAAAATAGTAGCGGAATATATATATATTCTGTATGTTATATTAATCTACACAAATAGGTAATTACTCATTTAACAAGTTTCTACAGTCTAGGGGTGTGCATTCGATTTTGACCCTTATCGATAATTACTTATCGATTATCGATTTGTACATATGCTTATCGTTATCGTTTCAATAAGGTTTCGATTTTTTCGATTTCGATTTCGATAACAAATAATCGATTCGATTTATCGATAAACCGATTCGAATGCACACCTTTACTAACATAGTTTTTCAACTCTTTTTGTTTGTATCTCTTATTTACACCCCTAATATTCCAAAAGATCCACTTCATCAGCAAGTTAGTCTACCTCTCCCTTTATCAGGAGGTACACTACTTGAACACCATGATCCCTTAGTCAAAGGTCCAAAAGAATTCCTCATAGCAATGGCTGATAAAGCTGGAAACTTGTCATATCCAGCTCAAATCGGTCCTCTATAGTTTTACCTTTGTCCACTGATATTTCCAGTGTGCTCTGTTGCTAAGAGGCTGTTTGTATATGATCCTGTTGTTCATTTATCTGCTCCACCATTGGCTGTATGATCTCCTCTTCTGCAGCTTCATTTTGGCTAGACTTCTGTAATTCCTTCTGATGAAGATTAGTTTCCCCTGTTGAATGAACCACTTCTTTCACTGGGCCTTTAGTTCTCCATTCCATTGTTACTTTCTTTGATTCTCTTTTTTGTCCTTGTTGCTTCTCTTGTTTGTGTTGCTTCTGCTCCACACCACATCTATGCCCAACCACTAGACATTTCTGGCAGAATTCTGGTTTCCAGTCATACCTGACATCTTGCAGGAATGTCTTTCCATTAGGGTCCATTACCTTTATCTCAATAGGTAATTCCCTAGTGACATTAACTTCAATCAACATCCTTGCAAAAGATATTCTCCTTTTCTTAGCAGTACACTCATCTGCATAGATTGGAGTACCAATTGCACTAGCCATTCTGCTCAAAGAGTTATTACCCCAGCAATTCATTGGGAGGTTAGGAAACTGCACCCATAAAGGGATTTCAGTGGGAAATTCCTCCTTGAAGTTAAAGTCTGGTGTCCATTGCTTCAATATGATCGGCCTATTGTTGAATGAGTAAGGTCCAGAATACAGAATTTCCTTCATATCATCAATAGTTTGGAATTTGATGATATAGTACCCTTCCTCATGTAGATATAGATCAGGCTCTACCACATTTGCCCAATTTATCCCAATAAACCTTCTCATCGCATTATAACCTGGGGAATCTCCAATTATGTAAGCAATTATCGCACTCCTCCACTTTTCTGTTTCCAGATCTACCTCCATTTTGTCTAATTGGACCACAACTTGACCATCAATGATTTGTGGTGGTATGTAAGTTAGAGACATACCATTTTCCGCAGCTCCATTCCCCCGAAATAGATTTGTCCATGCTTTGCCTTGGTTATTAGCTGCTTCTTTAGACTGATTCTCCTCCATCGACAGCCCTTCACTAGGTGCATGCATAGTTGTCACTGTTCCATTGCTTGAGCCTGAGATCTCCTTGTTTGCCTTTTGGATCTGTATCTCTTCAGCTTGATTCGTCACCAGAGTACTCAAATCTAGCTTCTTCTTCACATTTGTACCCATCATCGAAGACAGCTTCATAACTCGGACCTTGTTCTACCACTGGAGTAGTTACTTTATCTTGCAAAATGTCTTCAGCTTGTAGTCGAGTTCCCACAGAGCTACCATAGATAGCTACAGGGTTCTTCCTGGGTCTTCCTCGACCCCGTCCTCGTCCCCTACCTCTGCCATTCGCCATGGAAACGCCAAGCAGCGCACGTTAGCTATCGTGCACCGAGAGCATGGGCGAAGAGAGAGCAATGACCATAATAGTACATCTTGATTGAGTACTTTCTTTTTCATTTCAACAAAATGAGGATTTTTTTTTCATGATGAAGAAAAAATATTTTTTTCATTTCAATAAAACGAGTACTTTCTTTTCATGATCTAGAAAAAATATTTTCTTTCACTTTAATAAAATGAGTATTTTCTTTTTATGATATAGAAATATATATATATATATATATATATATATTTTTTTTTTGATAAACAGATTACTTTCATTCCATCAAAAACTTTACATTACATTCAGTAGATGCTGACCATCTACTCATTCTATGATCTAAACAAACTAGTCTGCGGCTACATCTCATACTAGATGATACAAAACATTTCTTCACTCCTAAGCTAAAACTCTTGACAATACAGAGAAACCTTAACAGACTTCAACTTCCTAAGGGTAAGAATTTAAACTCAACAAGGCTTCCTTCCAGTCGTGAATTGAGGTCCCCTTCATGTGTATGTGGATGGCTATTTCTTTGCATATGTTGTTGCTGAGTAGTCTCCCTCCTTGAAATCTTTGCTTATTTCTTTCCCTCCATATAGCATTCACCAGCATCCCAAACACACAGGTGGTTATTGCTGCTAGTCCATTCCTCCTCTTTGCATTCTTGCTTACCCATTCAACCTCATGCTGCCAGTCATATATGGGTCTATGATATCTCAGCCATCTTAGTAGTCTATTCCATAGTGCCTTTGTCAGCGAGCATTCAAAGAAAAGGTGATCAAAGGTCTCAATAGCTAGCCCGCAGAATATACATTGCTGTGGAACTTGTATGCCAAATTTCAGAAGCCTATCCACTGTTGCCAATCTGCTATGTAATGCAAGCCATAGTATGAACTTGTATCTTGGATGTATATGTGCCTGCAACATAATGCTCTTCCATTGAACTTTTTGGAGTGAGGGTA